ACATTCCCTTCAATTAGCATACCTCCAGGGCAAAGGAGATTTATACTGGGTATAGTTAATTCAAGAAAGGCAGAGGAGGAGGAGGAGGAGGAGGAGGAGACAAATTGCTTTCCATTTTTCTTTGTTGTAGTACTAAGCATGAGATACTTATTTACCTAGTACCTATGTTGACCTATTTAGCTTCCTGCTTCTGGGTGAAAAGAATGGAGCAAGAAGCTTACACTGTTTCCCATGACAGAAAACACATTAAATGGTTTCAAGTTTTTGTTTCTATGAAACAAAACCAGCTTGAGTTTTGGTCTGTTAAACCACAGGCAATCTGAGCTGGCATGACAGAACTTTCAGCATGCCATGTTTTGTTTTCAGCTTTGACCTTTTTGAATGCAGCACTGATGTACACCAGAGAAGTCTATGGGGAGGTGGTAACCATGAGGTCAGCAGGATACAGAATGCAAAGAGTAGTAGTTATCTGTTGAATAGCTAATTACGAAATAGCTGCTGGCTACTAAATGACAAACATTCTTACAACTGACAGCCTAATCCTTTTGAGAACATTATCTGTGTTTGCTGAAGTTTTTAACAGCTGAACTTTGGGTAGAACTTTCACTGTCTGGCACTAAGCTCTTAGAATAACAAATTCAGCTTGGATTCACCCTGTACTCATAGCTAATTACTACTAGGAGCAGTATTAAAAGTATTTATTTACGGTATTTCTATATTGCCTTTCCGTTTGTTCAAAATTATTTGCTTAACAATTAAAGCACAAAGATAAATGTTCACATACAGATTGCCCTCATTTAGCAACCACAACTGAGACTGGCAACTTGGTCGTTAACCAAGGTGGTCACTAAGTGAAATCACAACTGTGCTTATTATGATCTTACTTCAGTTTTCCTTTGCTTTACAGACCTGCAAAGGTCATAAATCCGAGGACTGGTTGTAAAGTTATTTTTTCATCACTGTTGTAACTGCAAACAGTCGCTAAATGAGGCAGTCACTAAACAAGGAATACCAGTAATATTAAAATAGCCATTACACTGATTCTTGATATAAGTTACTAATTAAGGGACAAAGAACAAATGCAGAGTATGGCAAACATTAGGATGGTATTGCAAGTGTGTGTTAACAATGAATGCATATATCTGCAAAAAAAGAATACCACCATGACCCCCCAATTAATTTCACTTTACATCCTCATTAAGAAGTTGAGTTTTTGCGAACCATATCTAAATCATCTAAAAAATCATGAAGTTCTATTGCTGAAATACCTGGAGAGAAAGTTTCCTAGAAACACTTTTAGTGTGTTGAAGAAAAAGCAATACAAACATCCAGGACCCAGCAAATTTAATTATCTCTGATGGTACTCATTATCAATAGATTCTTTACTCACATTCTTTACTCCCCCAAATTCTCTGTACACGGAAAGTGGGGAGGGAAGTGGAAATCATGACCACTTCACTTCACAATCACTTGAATAATGAGTGTTCTCAAAGTACGGTAAATGAGTGCATGTTTGGTTAATACTTACCCATTCAGAAGCTGAGATAAATTATCATCTTTACAGGACCAAGAAATGAATATAAAACACAATTACAGATACATTTATCTATCAGGGAAAAAAATCTAACATTCATATTGTGTAATATTATTATATTATTATTATGTGGGACTAGAGCTCAGTCTCCAGTTTCTAGCCTGATGCCATAACCACTACACCAAACTGGCTCTTGATACCCTTACTAAGACCAATTAAAAACTCCTGCAGAAATC